CCGCTAAGGTAGCACACAGCGCTACAGCAGGTCAACCCCTTGTAGCTTCAGCAAAGAAACAGCGACTACCTATCGGCCAAAAGCGGGCGGGGTGGTGGGCAACTTCTTGGCGGGGAACAGCCCAGCTGAAATTCATTCTTCCATGCAGTCGGGTGCACCTAGACGAGAGGTACCTCTAGGCATGTGGAGAAACCATGGATATGTGGCTAACAAAAGAGTAAAATGTGGCTTGTGCCTCAGTCAAGACTGGGTGACGCCGTCTGAAACTCATCCGGAAGTGGCTGGTCTCTCGGATCTTCACGTGACCGGTCCCTTCTCACTGGCTCTGGCCTGCCAACTGAAGGGACGCATTGAGGTGAGCTGCGGCGGGCACACGCCTGCCTGCTGTCAACTCAGCAGCAGGGCCAATTCACTTCACCTTGCGTGGCCAGGCGCGAAATTCATTTGTTGCATTTTCTCCAACGCGACGACATCACGAACAGTCCCCCCTCCCCGGACAAGACACATCGCAACTACAAATACTTTTGCGGCCCAAACCATCGAGTTCGATTTCCTTGTAATACGAGATTGGCCCTTTGCAACTTCACTAGCAAACACAACGCCATACAAATCAATTGCGTCAATCTTCATCCGCTCCCTCACCATCGACCAAAGCCCAGAGCAGCCGCCGCGTGTTTGTTCGCTCACCTCGTCCTCCTGCTATCTTAGTCGCCGTCGCCGCCATGGAGGAGGGATCCGTTAACTACGGCACGCCCAACAATGGCGCGTCGCCAAGTGCGAATCCTATTCTAGCACAGCCACCTTTGCCAGACAGCACCGCTGGCAACCAGAGTGAAGGTAAAGCCCGTCTCTGCCCATTTCCCTTGAGACATCCCTGGCTACCGCATGTCGATCTCGCAGTTTAGCGCATTTTCTAACTGCGGTTGTGGCGCGTTCAGATGTACAGATGGGCGAAGGCTCCGAACCCACTATCAAACAAGATGAAAGCACGCCGGCGCCAGGTGCTGCATCCGCCACTCCTTTAGATGCCTCCGAAGGTGCCGTCGTCGCGGCAACTGCCCCCGAAGACGAAGAGATGGGTGATGCGCCCAAGGAAGAGACAGCTCAGAACGGTGATGGCGCCAGCGCCAACGAAGGCTCCGGCGATGTCGCCAAAACAAAAGAGCAGATCGGCAATGCTGCGCGAGAGCATGTCATATCACAGACGCACGCCATTATTCTTCCCAGCTACAGCACCTGGTTTGATCGGAACACAATTCACAATATCGAGAGGAAAGCGCTGCCAGAGTTCTTCAACAACAGAAACCGTAGCAAGACGCCTGCCGTATACAAGGACTATCGCGACTTCATGATCGACACCTACCGACTGGTGCCCTACGAGTACCTCACTGTCACGGCTTGCAGACGTAACTTGGCTGGTGATGTTTGCGCCATCATGCGCGTCCATGCTTTCCTTGAACAGTGGGGTCTCATCAACTACCAAGTGAGCTTTTACCGCTTCCCGCCATTAGCCTTGTGTCCATGCTGACCTTGTTGAACAGGTTGATGCCGACCAGCGGCCATCGCATGTCGGCCCCCCCTTTACCGGTCATTTCAAGATCATTGTCGACACCCCTCGTGGTCTTCAGCCATGGCAGCCCGCTGCGGACCCTGCCCTCGTCGAAGGGAAGCCCAGCAAGGACACCGAAGCGAAGGCTACCGCCACACCTGTACCCAAGAACGAACAGACTCTCGAGTTGGGACGCAACATCTACGAGGCCAATGCCAAGAACAACAAGTTGAACAAGACCAATGGAGAGACCCCGGCCGCTAACGGCGCGTCGGAAGCCGATGCCCTTACCAAGGCACCTATTGCCAAGGTGATTTGCTGCAACTGCGGCATTGACTGCACTCGGATCTACTACCACAGCTCACAGGCCGATGTTAATTCGAAGACGAAGTACGACATGTGCCCCAGCTGCTACCTGGAAGGCCGTCTTCCAGCCAACCAAACCAACGCCAGTTACACCAGGATGGAGAATCCGACATACACCTCGATCCTCGACCGAGATGCGCCCTGGAGCGATGCCGAGACTCTCAGGCTTTTGGAGGCGCTCGAAAGGTACGACGATGACTGGGGTGAGATCGCAGAGTACGTCGGAACGAGGACGCGCGAGGAGTGCGTGCTGCAGTTCCTGCAGCTGGATATTGAGGACAAGTATCTGGAATCCGAGAAGTTGGACGCTCCTGTTGGGCTACAAATGCTGGGCAGTCACGGAGGGCAGCTTCCGTTCAGCCAAGTTGACAACCCGGTCATGTCTGTTGTCGGATTTCTCGCCAGCCTTGCGGATCCGGCCAGCACAGCAGCCGCTGCCGGGAAGTCGGCAGAGCTTCTTAAACAAGGACTGCGCAACAAGCTTGAAGGTGGGGCTGAAAGTACAGAGTCGGAGGATAAGGGCAAGGAGAAGGAGAAGAGTGGCGACTCGATGGAGGTGGATATCAGGCAGGAGACTACCACAACTACAACTACCGTTTCCACAACCACCACAACAACCAAGACATCGGCTTTGGCGAACATCCCGCTTGCAACTATGGGAGCGAGAGCCGGTGGCCTTGCCTCGCACGAAGAGAGGGAAATGACCCGCCTTGTATCGGCAGCGGTGAACGTGACATTGGAGAAGATGGAGTTGAAGCTCAAGTACTTCAACGAGATGGAGGCGATCCTGCAAGCCGAGAGGCGAGAACTCGAGCGCGCGCGCCAGCAGTTGTTCTTGGACCGCCTATCATTCAAGAAGCGGGTACGGGAGGTTCAAGAAGGACTCAAGGCGGCCGCTGCGGTTGGTGGAGAGCAAGGCGTCAAGTTGGCCCAAGAGGCGTTGACGGACGGGCAGCGGATGAGCTTCCACGCGCCACCGGCGGTAGGATCAGTTCAACCCCTGAGCGCAGAAGGCCAGGTGAAGACATACGAGGCGTGAGTCGCCTCCAGAATCGGGTTTGTTTGAAAAACCTGTAACGGTTCTTCCAGCGGAAATTGGTACAAGTGTTGTATAATGTTACTACTAGAAGTATTACTTGCTGCTACCGCTCTCCGTGTGTTGGTGGGTGGATGGGTGGGTGGGTGGTCGTGGCAGTGCCTAGTCATCCATTCTGGATTTTGATGTTACAGAAGGGAATGACCACCGTCCAAATGTTAAACTTTCTCATTTTCCCTATTGGTTCTCGGTGTTACAGGTATTGACATTGGGTATTAGGAGTTATGTGTTTTTTTTTTGCTTGGTTATTCGGCTACACAAGATTGACATTGGGCTCTTCGGTTGTTGCATCGAGAGGCTGTCTGGGGCGAGAGATCAAGCTCATGTATGATGTAGCGTACGAGGAAAAGGAATCAGAAGTTATCTAGCCACGAATTGAAGTCTGAATCCAAAGCCACAATAACTCAACCCCATACGCCAGCTTTTTCACAATTCGTGATGTTCACAGATCAACATCAGGGATTCTCCAATACGAATGTTTAACACGTGCAAGTCAACGTGGAAGCGCGGCAAGTACTCAAAGAGGAAAAAATCCATAAGCTTTGGCGTCCACGTGCCGTTACATTGACACGCATCGAATCGAATTTCGCAGAATTTGGAAATTCTGCAGCCTTCTGTGACATCTCTGTGTGCTATTTCCATTCTGTGTGGTGTTGACCCTGCAGCCCGCTCCAACTGTTGTTGCCAAGTTGGATGACATGTGAAAGCCTCCCTTCCCCCAAGCGAAACCTCAGCTGACCAGTCATATGCCGAACGTCTCTCAGACGTTCTCATGTCAGGCATCCGCTAACCCGCAGAGACCCGGCGCAACCCTGAGGTGAAGTGGAAAAGTGCGTGGTGACGTGACTTGTTGGGGCTTCCATTTCACAGCACTGGACTGACTGATAATTTGGGGAGACAGTGAAAATAGACGCGGAAGTGGATAATTATGGATGAAGATGAATAGTAGGACAGCATGTCAGTCTGTCAGCAGCAAGCACCGTTCGTCGGCGGTCGGAAGGGAAGTCAAATGTGCATGTGACTTCCACTTGAAAAGTCAGCAGGAGAGAAAGGTTGAGTGAGGCACACTCTGTTTCTGCGAGCCGGACATATGGATGAGTTTCTTTGCTTTGGTGTTTGTGATACGCACCAATTCGATGAAGATCAACTTTGATTGAAACTCATTTGGGTTCAGTTGGGGAGGAAGACATCCACCCACCACCACCGGCAAAACGTGGGGTTGAAGTTTGGCGGCCCTCTTGGCTCTCTTTCCTGTTCTGGGCCGGGACTCAAGCTCACTGGGCCTGAATTGGGGAGCGAGTTTCTTGGCAATCGTCAATGCCATTGCCGTCGGCTACTTTGAGCCTCGGCTCGAGGGGTAAATGGGTCCAGTCAGTGGGTCACTCGGACAAGCGCATCCACTTTTTTTTGTTCATTGCACAGTACCTCTGTCGCCTACGTAGTGACGGTAGTCTACGGCGTATGCTCGGCCTCTCATATCATCTCAGCGGCCTATGTAAATGGCGACGGAATGTGTAACTGCCCCACGTTTTTTGTTCCCTCCCAATCCAATCCCAGTTCAACGGGCAGTTGGAGAAACTAAAGAGTCGGGAGATGGGGGAATGGGGAGAGAAGAACGTGCGGGCGGAAAGATCCCCGCGAAGCGGGTACACAGACGGGTACATAGAGAGATGCATAGGATGGAATGAGAACAGACAGGTACCACGACTGCGGAATCAAGCACCAGCAAGCATCACGGACCACCAGCATGGGATCTGATCTGAAGAAACAGATGGGACATGGTCGACGGCATGGTGAGCGGAGGATACCGTAGCCTGACACTGGCTCTCAGTTGGGGTAGGATCGGTGAGATCTATCTCTTTCAGTTTTGGAGACAAAGCCTCGGCCTGCAGAGATATACATACATACCCTCAAGTTACCCTACAATAAGTCCGGCCAAGGTTTCATGTCGGTGGTGGTTTGTCTCCCGTGCCCCGGTCCCCCCCCCCCCCCGTCTTGCCCGTCTCCATCGACAACCATCCCCCCATGGGCCACCTCCACGAGTAAACAATATCCACGAGACAAGCCCAAAAGTGTCCACTTGTTCCGACTCCCGAGCTACCGAGTCGTAGTCGGCAGCACCCCTCAAGGTGTACATCAAACCCACCGCCTCCACGTCTGCCTCATAACTTGCCTCGCCTCCCGCGTCTGCCTCACTGTCCAGCTTTCTCTTTTTATTCTTTTTTCCCTTTTCCGCTTCCCGTTCCCGTCTTCACTGCTTGTTATTCTTCCTCCTCTTCTTCTTCTTCTTAGCTCCACCATTGTCCGTGGTTATCGAGTAATGTTGGCTTCCATTGTGCGATCTGAGGCTCGGTCTACTACGCTTAGACACCTCTTTAGACAACCAACCTCCGCTGCTATTTCCCCTCTTGTAAGTCATGGACGGTCTCCCTTCCTTGCTGCGCGCACGCAACTGACTGACGCCCTTTCTCTCTTCAGAGAATCTCCGCCATGGCGCAAACAAGGAAGAACAGCTCCCTCCCCGCCGGCTATGTCGAGGACAAGTCCAAAGGCCCCATGCTCCGCTTCCAAGAGTCTCTCCCCCGTCTACCCGTCCCTACCCTCGAGGAGACGGCTGCCCGCTACTACCAGTCTTTGAAGCCTCTTCTCAGTCCCCAGGAGCTCGAGAACAGTAAGAAGGCCATTGATGCCTTCATTGCCCCCAATGGTCCTGGTCGCAAGCTCCAGGAGAAGCTCGTCGCTCGTCGCGAGGACCCCAAGCATAAGAACTGGCTCTACGAGTGGTGGAACGATGCGGCCTACCTCTCCTACCGCGACCCCGTTGTCCCCTACGTCAGCTACTTCTACTCTCACCGCGATGACCGCCGCCGCCGCGACCCTGCCAAGCGCGCTGCTGCCATCACCACCGCCGCTCTCGAGTTCAAGAAGATGGTCGACCAGGGCACTCTCGAGCCTGAGTACATGAAGAAGCTCCCCATCTGCATGGACTCTTACAAGTGGATGTTTAACGCCAGCCGCGTTGCTGCCAAGCCCGCCGACTACCCCGTCAAGTTCAGCGCCGACGAGCACAAGTACATTCTCGTCATCCGCAAGAACCAGTTCTATAAGATCCACCATGAGGTTGGTGGTAAGCAGCTCAACACCGCTGAGCTCGAGCAGGCCTTCAAGCGCGTCTACGAGCTCGCCGCCTCGCGCGCTCCCGCTGTCGGTGCTCTCACCTCCGAAAACCGCGATGTCTGGACCGACGCCCGCGCTACTCTCCTCTCCGCCGACCCCAAGAACGCCAAGGCTCTCGAGGCCATTGAGGCTTCTTCCTTCGTCGTCTGCCTTGACGATGCCGCCCCCGTCACCCTCGAGGAGCGCGCTCACCAGTACTGGCACGGTGACGGCCAGAACCGCTGGTACGACAAGCCTCTCCAGTTCATCGTCAACGACAACGGCACCTCGGGTTTCATGGGCGAGCACAGCATGATGGACGGCACGCCCACTCACCGCCTCAACGACTTCGTCAACGACGTCATCTTCAACAACAAGCTCGACTTCTCCGACCCCTCGGTGCGCTCCAACCTGCCCGAGCCCGAAGCTGTCAAGTTTACCGTCACCAAGGACGTCCAGGCCGAGATTGACCGGGCCATTACTGACTTCAACAACGTCATCGGCCAGCACCAGCTCGCGGTGCAGGCCTTCCAGGGCTACGGCAAGGGCCTGATCAAGAAGTTCAAGTGCTCCCCTGACGCCTACGTGCAGATGATCATCCAGCTGGCCTACTACAAGATGTACGGCAAGAACCGTCCGACGTACGAGTCGGCCGCCACCCGCCGCTTCCAGCAGGGTCGCACCGAGACGTGCCGCTCCGTCAGCGAGGCCAGCGTGGCCTTTTGCAAGGCCGCCAACGACGCGAGCGTCGACGACAAGACCAAGGTCGAGCTCTTCCGCAAGGCCATTGACTCCCACCTCGAGTACATCTCGGCCGCCTCGGACGGCAAGGGCGTCGACCGCCACCTGTTTGGCCTCAAGCGCCTGCTCGAGCCCAACCAGGAGGTTCCCGCTCTGTACCAGGATCCCGCCTACGGATACTCGAGTTCGTGGTACCTGTCTACTTCTCAGCTGAGCTCCGAGTTCTTCAACGGATACGGATGGAGTCAGGTTATTGACCAGGGATTCGGTATTGCTTATATGATCAACGAGAACAGGTAAATTGCTCCTCCCCTTTTTTTTCCCGCATACATGACATCAGATGAAAATGCTAACATGTGACACTTTCACAGCCTCAACTTCAACATCGTCTCCAAGGGCCTCGGCTCCGACAGGATGAGCTACTACCTCAACGAGGCCGCCAACGACCTCCGCGATCTCCTTACCCCCACTCTGGAGGCTCCCAAGTCCAAGCTCTAAGCTATAGGCTGTAGGCTTTGGGGTAGGGCATGGGAAGTTGAGGAATGTGGAAATAAGAGGAAGGGTAGGGAAAGAAAGGAAATGAAGGGCATGACATGAGTTTTGGATAAGGAAAAAGATACATAGAATCCGGAAGGCGGATACAAGGGAAGAAGAAGCAGAAGAAGAACAAGGAAGAACAGTAGCATGCATGTTGTACCCGTCCATTTTAGCTATATATCATGATGTCTTTTTTTTTGTCCTTTTTTTCTCTTTTTCCTGTTTTCTTTTGTTTGTTTCAACTTCATATATACCATCTGTTTCTACATCTGGCTCAGGTAGTTTTTCTCTGATGGGGAGGTGGGTCAATATTAAGTGGCATACATATCTGAACAAAATTTGCATCAAGCCCCTGTGCTCACCATGTCTTGTAAAGCCGTGCAATATGTTTTAATATCGTGTTAATGTTATTGAAGACTCTTTCGCTGTGGATATTGTCCACCTTCTTAGGATGTGTTCACACAAAGACTTTGCGAACCATTCACCAAGCTGGCTGTCAGGTCCTACTCACTTTAAGTAGGTACCTAACTCCGCTTTTAGGACTACCTCCTTAGATATCATACAAGAAAAGGGGGTTGTCAAAAGATTCTTTCTAACCTCTTGCTACTAACCAGGAACCAATGAGACCACCGCCTGCCGCTCAGCTCGACTTCTTTCCTTCCCATCCCTATAACCTTCCTTATACGTTCTCCAACTCTCCATTTCGCTCTTGAGCTTCAGCGTACCTACAATATCCTTTCATCCAATCCTTACCTATACACGAATCACATGTATCCTCTCACTTCCAAGCACTCAACCCAGCCCAAGGATCACCCCCTCCCCCTCCCGGCTGCTGATACAGCTGCTGTTGCGGCGGCGGCTGTCCCCAACCCCCTTGCTGCCCCTGTGGCCCCTGCTGCCCCGATCCCGGCCTTCCAATATTCGGATTACCCATGGCACCCGCATAATACTCGTTCCCGCCGTAATGCACCGTTTGCTGCGGACCCAGCGGCGGGGGTCCCGGAGGCGGCGGAGGTGGGACGAAGCCTGGAGGGACGTAGCCTCCTGGCTGCGATTGCTGCGATTGTCCACCCTGAGGATTCAGTGCCGAAGGGTTACCGTACGTCGTCAAGCTGTAAGGGCGGGATTGGGCGAAGGAGGTTTGCGTCGGTGGCGGAGAGGCGGGGTGGCGGCCGGGGCCGATGTTAAAGCTTGTTTGGTTCGGAGGTGGGGAGGCGGGGCCGGGGATACGGCCGAGGGAGCTGGGGTTGTATTGTTGATAGGGGGTCTGTTGCTGGCCCCCGGGGTTGTGGGGAACTTGTGTGGCTGGCGGCGAGGCGGGATACTGGGTAGAAAAGTTGGACTTTTGGTAGGCTGACAGTGGTGTGTTGGAGACAGCTGCTGGAGCGAATGATAAGGGAGCGGGCGTAGGTCGGCCTCCTGATCCCGATGAAGGCTTGGGGGAGGTCGGCGATGGGTCCATCGACATGCGCTCCATGAGATTCTTCAACCGCTCTTGTTCCAGCGCGGCGTGGGAGCTCTTGTTGGCAGCCCGGTCCTGCTCGATCTGGTTGAGAAGCTGGGCACCCTCTGCTCTACGGTTATTGACGAACGCCTCTACGTTCTTCTCCAGGCTCTCGGCCTCCTGTCGCATATCCTTATACCAGTTCTTGGCACTCTGCAGACCCGCCTCAAGGTCCAAGAACTCTTGGTAGGCACGCTTGTACTTGTTGATAACGGAGGTACGCGATCGTTGTACCGACTCGTATCGGCTTTGGTCGGCACGCACTCGCTTGTCTTGAAGGAGATTGTTAAATGTTACTGTAAGCTCCCTCATGAGAGCAGCCTGCTTGTGTGAAGCTTGCACGAGGCGGTTCTGATGAGGCCTGAACTTCTCCAGTTCCTGTTGGAAGAGTTGCTGCTCATAGTTTGCAATCGACTTCTTGTTGAGAATAAGAATTTGGGAAATATCATCACTGTGCGCCTGTTGTTTTGTCAGCTCTTGATGAACCACACACAACTCTTCATCGTGATCAACATACCTTTTGCTTCAGATCCTGTAGTACCTGCAGACGCTCCTTCTTCACCAAGCTGAGCTTCTTCAGAATATCTTCCACCTTTTGGATCTGCTCAACCACACTCGGGCCACCGTCATCAAAATCGGCCTCCAAAAGGTTAGGCTCCACGGTGGCGGGGCTATTCGGGTTTGACTTTCGCGACTTCCTGACTGCTCTCTGGAACAACTCATCGATCTCTCCATGCTGCGCGGCCTGGCGCATCTCGTCCAACTCGTTTTCGTTGGCTCTAAGCTTTGTCGCGAGCTGCCCATCACTCTTCGCTGCCACTTCCAAGGCCTCCCTATACCTCCTAATGTCCGTTCTGAGCGTAGTGGTCAACCGCGAACTCGGCTGCTGGGTCCATTCCGCATCGTACTTGGAACGCATCTTCTCACACACGCTTTCCTCCATATCCAACTGCCTGCTACTCTTATCCAGTATTGTTGAGATGGCCTGCTTTTCGGTATGAAGATATTCGAAAATCCTGTGAGGGCTTTCGTGATCCGCGACATCCACACACCATGTCCTAAAGTCTTCGTCAGGAAGGATATCCTGATCGAACCCTCCCTTCAAAACCTGAAGAGCGCCCGGAAGCCTGAGATAGTCCAGGCTAGCCGCCATCTCGCTGTTTGCGGTTTCCACTCTTTCCGTCTCTGCTCTCACCAGCTTGGCCTTCTCTTCATCGTACAAGCTAGCCGACTCGGTAACCGCGAGAGGCACAATTTTCGCGAATAGATCGGGGCCGGTAATCCGTTGAATATCCTGACCGGCATATAGCTCGCTAACCGGTATCGGTTTCGCAGCCGGCAGCTTGGGGACCGGTGCAACGCTGGCCTCGGCAGGTACGGGTTGATGGTAGATCATGTCATTTTCCTTGTTGAGTTCCTCCAATTTTTCCTTGACAGTTGCGAGGTGTCTTTTGGTCGCATCTGCCAGGATGTGGCCACAGTCGGAGGTCAAATTCGAGTTCGGGGGCACTGAGGTAGGAAAACTGTGTGCCATCTTGTTTGCTTCTTTGGCAAGACCCTGTGCAATTTCAAGACGCGCAATGGCCACGCCATAAGAGTTTGCATCCTCATCAGCGAGGGCTTGGTAGTACTGGGCGAGTGAGTTCATAAAGTTAAGCTTGATCTATTATTTTGTGTCAGTCTTGCCCCAGATCTCCCATCCTTCCTGATCCGGACCCCACTCCAACACAACTTACCTGAACCACAGACAGCCACACTTTCTCGAAAATGGCCTTGGTGACGTTTTCTTGAACGCCCTCAACAGCCTGGGCGTAGAGAGCGGCTGCTTGGCTAGACAACTTGGCGAGCAGACCATTCTTTTTTTGATCAGCAATCTGCTTCTCAAGGAAGACCTCTTGCGCCTGGGCCAACATGATGCTGATCAGCGTCTTGACCGTTTCCCTGCTCAGATCGGACGAGGGCGCGTGGAGGAAGTTCTCGTTGATGTAGGTGAACATGCCGGCCGAGGCCTGGAACGAGTGGTATGCCGTCTTGAGTCCCGCCTCCTCGGTTCGCAATTGGTGTGCCGCATGGCAGGATAGAACGGCGGAAATGTTGAAGATGATGGAGGCCTTTTCAAAAGCCAGCGAATATTGCGCTGTGGGCTTGTGAGTAAAAGCGTCGAACCTACAGAAGCAGCAGATGGTTAGCAACCGATGTGGGTCCCGAACACTGGAAGGGACAATACCATGTAAAGGAAATCTTGATGTTCTTCTCGTCCACCGGAAATCTCAAATCCAAAAGTTCGAGCTGGCCGTAGTAGCGATAGAGCAGGTCCCTTCCCGACGTGCTGTCCTTCCCGGCGCCTCGCATATCCTGGCGTAACCGGTTGAGGGTGGCACATTCTTCGGCATAGCGCTCCGGATCATCGCCGTACGTATTTCGAATGTAGTTCTTGAGGGGAGCAACCCAGTCAATCTCGCTTGTGGCCTTGAGGGGCACCGAGATCATGGGCGCCTGCACCATGTTGGGCGATTATGGGCGGGCGATTGGAATTCAGCGTCTCGGTTCGGTAAACGACTCGGTGGAATTCGGTATGCGGGGACAAGACAAGACGAAAGTCCCGGTTCTGGCAGCTTGTAAGCCAAGTTCTTGTGGTTTTTTCCGTGTTGTCTTCCGCGTGACGACTGCAGCTTTCCTAAGCCTACTTTGCCGATGTTATGTGGTAGACTGGGGAAAAAGGCGGAATTGGCGGTTGACGAGTTGTGAGAGGGAGGAGAGTTGCGTGTTCGTGTAAGCTTTGGGTAACAAGCCAGCTTGTGTCGTCAGAGCTCGCGTGCGGCGGAGGGGTACCCGGTACTTTGCCAACGGCGGTTGCCCTGCTGTGAACTCTGCTGTGGTGATGCCCCTGAGCGTTGATGGTCGCCTGGCCGTGCTGGAGTGGACCGTAAAGTCGAGAACCACGTTGTGGACTTTTTACTTTTTTGGGGGTTGGGGAGGGGGAGATCCGGGGAACTGGTGAGGTGCAGCAGGCACAAGGCGAACTACCTACCTACCTTACCTTATGGGTTGCTTGGGTCTCCAAATGTGGCCGGGTGGCTTGGTCACTACCTAGAGGTAAGGTACCTTGGCGACGCTCGACGATTGACAAGACACAAAGCTGAGGTGCTGTTGCTTGGTAATATTTAAACCAATACTTGTTATTTATGGCCAACTTTTGCAAAAGTTGTCTCGGTCTCGCTCATCGTATAGGTAAGCGAAAGAGCGGCACCTCCAGGCCCCGTCATATGTTATATGTGCACAGCTGGACAGGTCATCGATAGGCGGCGGGCAGCAATGGGCGTGATGGGGCAGGCGGCAGCTGCCGGGGGAGGAGCCACCCAACTACGGAGACAGTCCCGTATAGCTTCATCCCCTGTCACCGGCCGGGCTCTCTCCAGCTGTGATTCAGACCTACAAGATTCCTCTGATATTCAAGATGGAGTTCAATGTGGAAGCCACAAGCACTTAGCTTGAAATCGAAGACACCCAGTGAGGTTTGCTGGACCAGAATATCCAAGCGGAAACTAATCGAGCGAAGAAGAGGCAAACCGAGATGGATTCCATCCGCTCTCTCCAAGTTAGCCGCCGGCTGCAGATCGCTTCAGGCATCTTCCTCACATGTTCAGACGGGGGAAGCAGCTCCATTATAAGACCAGGAAGGTATAATAAGCTTAGCACTACCTAGTCCATCTTTCCACACCTCCCCCCCATCCATATCGCCCGTCGGGATGGGCGTTGCTTCATGGCTCGATATTCAATGCCTTGCTTGCCCTGGTCCCCATTTTCGGAAACAATCCTCCAATGATTCGGGTACCCGTACAGTACGGGTGTGGTACAAAGCTACAAGCCGGCGGCTATGAACGCCCAGTGCAGCGATTTGTTAGTGTGGCGCCCAACGGCTGACCCCTCTTTTCACCTCGTCATTAGACGCGCTTCTATCCACTTCTTTCCAGTGTGAAGAAAGAGGAACCTAAGAGCCCAACCTGACAAGAATGATGGATGAGGAAACTGAAGAAAGGTATAAGTGATGAAATCACTCCTTCTGTGCGTGGTAATAACGCTCAAGGCAGCCGCATTCAACGGATGTGGAAACAGAGAGTGATGAAGAACATAAGAACCCCGCTACAAAACGCGGGGGTGTTTCTCTTTTCACTATCACATCACATCTTGCAGCTGGCGATCGACAGGTTCAGGTTGCGAGAGCGGCCTTTCCCTGGATCCATACACACGGATATCTCATCTCTACTGTCAATATCACGGCTACGACATGTGCACCTTCCTCACCATCGGAACGGCGTCAGTTCATGGGGCTCTACAATATGCGGAAACTGAAGCCAGGTGCTCAACCCTACATCCCCGTCAGAGGATTGCTTCACGATATGATTGGTGAACTGCCCTTTTCACATCTACCTCTCGCACTCTCGAGAAGCGCTCAATGGATGGTGCTTCCGGGGATGGAGGCTGGCATGAAGCATCCCATCTATGTACATGCCTGTCAAACAGAAAATATGATTTCGAATACTGTGACCCTTTCCTGCCCCTCTTGTAACTCTCTTTTCAGCAGCGAGGGGGGGAAAAAAGGTGTTCAAAAGGAACAAACCAAGGTACGGCGCATGGCCGTCTCGACCTTGGACAAATGTGCGGCCAGAAACGCGGCCATTAGCACACTACATACATTAATTGCCGAGGTAGAAACAATCCGCGATTGTCAAAAGGTGAACGAATGAACGAATGAAAGGAAAATTGTACCTGGCGCTGACCCATAATCTAATCCACCATGATTCAGATTAGATTCGTCTGAAGCAACATCAGTTAAAGCGCTGATCTGGGTGTGGGTTGCTGTGCGGGTCGCTGTGATCATGTGAGAGAAGCGCTGGGACTGGGTCACTGGGTGGGTGAGGTTACCTATTCACAGTCTTGGTTTCGCGCAACAGTCTGTCCCTTCGTATCGATGCTTCCCTTCTTTCACAACTCAATCGACAAGCCAATAAGGTAGACCGTGTTTCTCTGAACACATGTTTTCAACATATCCAATAAAAGAGTACTTCGATGTACTAGTTGAGTTTTCCTGCCAATGCCTCCTAAAACTGCTTGTATGAGTGCTGAAATGCGAAAGGATACAGTGACCACAGTCGCCAGCCTAGGCCTTATACAGTTCTGCACCACATCATTCATTTTGAGACTGATAGCTACCATAGTCTCATCATATGCCAACATCAACTCTTATGGGCTGGGATCGATACGATTACAACTGCCTCATCAGTTCCGGGATGTCAAGATTCATGTATCCCTGCGACGGATCACTATTAATTCCAAAGAATTGGAACCTGCAGATTCCATCCCATGTTAGCTTCTGTTTTCATCCGAACGCCATGCCGCATGGGACCAAAAAAAAAAAAAAAAGAATCACCCCCAAAAAAGAAGACAAAATGGGGGGAAGGAACAAAATAAAAGAAAGAAAAAAACTTACCAGTCCTCAACATTAAGCGTCGACGGAACAGACTGTCCATGCACCGAGCTATTACTCCAACTGTCACTCGGGCTATGCCCGTCATTCGCTCCACCGCCGCCTATCTGCCCATCAAAGCTGGCGTTCCAGAAGCTATTAGACTGATTATTTCCATATCCTCCCTGTTGGCCTTGGCCCTGCCCTGGCATGCCGCCAGGATGAAGCAACCCATTGCCATTATTATTGTTGTTGGGGTTGGTGGGCAACGGACTGCCAGCCAGGTTGCGCTTAACGCCCTGTGTATACTCAATGGGTTGATTGGAAAGCCCGCTTGGCATATGCATCATGTTGGGGTCCAGACCGGAATGCTGTTGGGTAGGTGACAGGTGAGGGAAGAGGGGCATGTTGGTACTTTCTGGGAAGAGCTGGTCGGGCTGAAAGTTCTCCCAGATGTTTTGTGAAAGGTTGGGTGAATTTCTCGTCACCAAGTATAGATCTGGTGGAGTGGCTGGAACCGAGAAGGATGGGTTGAAAGGCGTCGCTGGCCGAGTGTGCGGCCTCGAAGCCGTTCCGCCCATAAACGCATCGTGCGGAGGACGATGACCGTTCTGGTTATTGGGTGACGTGACAGGTGGCGGCATCGTGCTGGGCGTCGTCTCCGTCTTGGTTGTCAAACTTGGTGTTTGTGGCCTTGAACGCTCGTAAGATTCTTGGGGCTGGGGAGTGTTAACGCTGAAATCAATGGCCATTTCGTCGTATTTACGCTTCTGATCGTGTACACGTTGCTGCTGTTGCTGCTGGTGCTGGTGTTGCTGCTGCTGCTGCTGCTGCTGCTGCTGCTGTTGTTGTTGTTGTTGTTGCTGTTGTTGAAGCTGCTGGTGCTGGCGATATTGTTCTAGCTGAGAGAGACCTTGCTGCATCCGGCGATGTCTCTTACCTGCCGCCTTCTGAAGCCTTTCTTCAAGGACCTTATTGCCGAGAATAGACTCGAAAAGAGTAAACACCATCTTGCCCACAAGCCAAACCTTGGAAACGTCTTTCAGGGCGGCCATGCATGTGCGTATTCTGGTTTGCGTAACTTGCTGGATGGAGGCAACTGGCGACCTCATCTGATATACGTGCATGATGAGCGCAGAGAAGAGACTGTAGACAATGTACGCAGGGCAATACCGTAGCTGATGGTTGGACTGGAGATTCTCGATAATAGAGGTGATCATAGCTGCCGCCTGGAACGCAATGTTACGCGAGGGGTAGGGCGAGTCATCAGGCCATCTGTGGGATCCACTCGGTGGCATGTGTGCTCTGTGCAGGAGGCATAGAGTGGTGTAGTAATTTGAATGAAGCAATGCAGACCAGAAATGGTGGTTCCGCATCTCCCAGTAGACAATCTTTGGGCAGTTCTGAAGCCAGTCGGCAAGAGCCATATCACTGTGTGTCAGATCAATGGCGTTTTTCCCCTTGCCCTTGGAGGCAACAGAATACTGCTGAGAGAGGACCAGGCCCATGATTTCGCAGAGCTTGACGTATTGCAGGAAGAACTGAACATGGATCTCGTCCGGTGGGTAGTCGCTTGGGTTATCCGGCTCGTCTTCGATGAAGTCGTCCTCCGTTAACATCTCCACGTCCGAGTCGTCCAGATTGATATGACAAGGTCGTCCAAGCGCGACAGCTGTCGATCGGTCCCTTGTGAACAATGACCACCAGATACGCTTCCACAGCCTCTTGTCGGCTTTGCTTAGCTGCGAACCCTCAACGCTCCTGTGCATGCCAGAGCCCTGAGCGACAATGGTAGCAACACGGCTCCAGTAGAAGACGTTTTTGGTAACGTCCTCGGGGCCTTCCCAGTACCAACCCATCAGGAGGAGTGACTGTACAATGGTAACCCGATCGTCTTCGTAGCCCGCTTCGTACAAGGCCTTAGCGCGTTTGTAAAATGTAAGAGCGGCTGGTGCTGCGGAACCATTTGCATCCATCAGTTGGGGGTTGGTGCAGACTCGAGAACCGGCAAGAAGCATGGCTTGCAGCAGCAACAGTGACGGCGGGTTCTTGGGGTCTTTGTATTGCCGCATAAACTTGGTCCGGTTAATGACGGGGACTATGGGGTGTACCCACTGGAAGTACGATTCGATGAGCTCATCGCACAGAGACCGTGGTGGCAGCAGAAACGCGCCTCGCTGATGAAGGATTTCGATCTCGGTGCTATCCAGCTCTGATAACCTGGCCTTGTTGCCCCGTACATGTTCCGGCAGAGGATAATGTACCACGTCCGAGTCGCTTTGGCGGTCGTGGACGAGAAGGTTGAGGTTGGAAGACTCGCCCATATAGGCTACCCTCCCAGCCTCCGTGATAGGTGCCCTAGTGAACTTGGGCTTCATGACGAGGTTCATGTAGTTGGCCAGGGTTGCATTGTCGTACTCTTCCCTTTTCGCCTGTTCCTTGACGTTGACAGATGTGGTCGGTGTCCCCTCCTGGGTATGGTAGGCCGCCGCAGGTCGGGTTCCAGCCGGGAAGGTGTTGTTTGCACCGGCCTGGCGCGGCGACCGGTCTTCGGTGTCTCCTCGCTCACTAGGATCCGGTCAGCTGTTTGCAGACCAAGGTGAGTGATCACATGTGATCAAAACAGGAAGAAAGGGAGAGGCTATTGGCAAGAAAAGCAAGGAACTAGAAAGGAACGAGTAAAACTCAAGCAGGAACAACATATACCTATCCGAGTCCTTGGAAGGGGCAGTGGTGGTGCTCTGCGCGGCAGTCTTCTTGCGTTTAGGCGTCGGGATGCGGCATTCGATGGAAAAAGCGACGCAGTTGGTGCACGGAACACCGAGGCTTGCGGCATCGCAGCGAACCTGTAACGGGCATGATGTGAGCATCCATGTTGCTCAAAAACAAGTGATATGACAGATCCGAGGTTTGGCAATTGGTTGGGACGCATTGATTCAAAAGAGGGCGCCGTACTTTACGGGCATGGCAAGTCTACAAAGACGGGGTGGTTAGCCTAGGTTCCGCACGAGAGATAACGCGATAGCTAATGAGCCGAGGCTCGGTGTTGAAGTGCGGCGCAACGAGTCGCATCCCGCCAGTGGCCTCTGCTCTGGGCTTTCTGCATCTTATTGGGGGCCCATTGCGGGGAGAGTGCCTCAAAACCTTATAAAATACACGTTTGCAACTTACTTCGCAAGCTCGAGAGGCTCGTTGTCTTTTTTTTGTTTATTCCGAATGATATGTCAGCTAAAAGGAGCTCCTGACTGTTATCCTCCCCAGTCTTTGCCGGAATTTACCAACCTCCTGAAACTCATATGGCCGGTTGATGTGCCCGTGGCTGTCGAAGCCGATGGTGGCTGCTGACCCTGAGATTGCGCTTGCGACGGTGCTGGCGACTGCGACTGCGACTGTCTTGACTGAGTCGGCGATTGTGAGCTGAACTGCGGGTGTGGTTGCAACGGTGGAGGTTGCTGCTTTGACTGAGCTTGTTGTCGACTCGGCTGCGATTGTCTTTGTTGTTGTTGTTGCTGCTGCTGCTGCTCCTGCTGCTGAGCGGCGGAAGCAGTTGTCGACTTCTCCGCTGGCGTTGTCGCAGACATTGTTGCTCCCTTGGCCGTGTCAATGTCCAGGTCCATTAGCGTATGGTAACGGGAGATGCGCTGCGCCCTCCTCGAGGCGAAACGAGGAAAGCCGGGTGTCACGCAATCGTCGATGGGGTTTTGAAACAGGGAGAGAAGACTAGTTGCGCTCAGTGTCGGAAGAGCTGCGCTTGTTGGTGTCGGTGGTTGCGTTGCTGTTTCTGGGGGAGGGGAGGGAGGGGGGCCGAAGCGATCGACGTGGTTCGTTAGTTATTGGCGTGAACTACCCAACCTCTGGACCTGGGAGTTTCCGTGCTACGCCGTGCTCGGTACTCGGTACTAGGTGCTGCTACCGTTGTGGATGACTTGGACGTTCGCGTCTCCAGCCAGTTCGTTTGGAGCATGTGTGTATTTTGGTCACTGTCGATTGTGTGTGTGCCGTGGAAGCTACCTGGACCTCTAGGGCGATGGATGGGGTTTGGTTTGGGACCAGAAGAGTCGACGTGTCTCGTATCCTAGACCTGGCTGCTGCGCAATAACATAGTCGGGTTGTATGTGGTGTAGCAGCTCCCCATGCGGATACGGTTTCAAATATCAGGAAAGCGATTAAATGCGGTCGCGTTCGCAGTCGCACCAAGGTCGGTTTTTTGTTGATCACGGATTCCTCTCCGTGGAGGTCGGGTGGGTAGAGGGTGATTACTGGCGCGGGTCGAGGCGAAGGTACTTGGGTGTAGGTAAGGTAAGCACGGACAAGGTGCCCGAAGATGTTGGAAAGTGAGGGGGATCGTGAACAAGGGCGTCAAAACGAAGTGTTCTTTTCGTCCTTGTCCAAGACCCGTCGCTTGCTCTCTCCAGTCTTCTGCTTTTCTTTGTGAAGAAGCCCGCTTCCTGTGGGGATTGGGGAACTTGGAAGGGACTTTGGAGGAGCAAGTGGAAGGTGGGTGGGTGCGTGGTCTGAAAGCGGGAACAATTCCGTTCGATGCGAGGACTAGTCTAGGTAACTGTCACCGACCTGTACCAATTGGATTGCCGTCACTGTCAGCAGAGGACCTGGGAGGCGAGGCGGCCAAGCACAGGCGGAATTGCAGGCCTACCGCTGCCATAGTGTCATCCCCGGATTGAGCGGACTCACGCTTGCTATGTACTACAGTAGCGCGAAACGATCTGGCGAGGAGGGGGTGCTCTCGAGGCGATGGGCGGATGAACCTGTACCGAACTTGGCACATATCGAACCTCATGTCCTGACTTCTTCTTGTGTGACTGCACGCTACTATTTCAAAGGCTCTTACTAATGTGTGTCTACAGTACAGAAGGGAGAAAATCCCGCACTTCTTGACATTGGTCTGCGCAAGAAATCGTTCTATCTTGCCGTTCCCGCAGGTCTGAACTAAAGTAGCACCAGCACTCAACTCCTCTAGCTATGTACTTATGTACATTGCCAGCACAGACACGGAGACAGAACAGCCGACCAGAGACACGATGCGGAACTCCCGTCGGTTTTAGGGCTCTGGATCCCTACAAAATATCACCCCGCCCAACCTTCAAGGACTTTCCAATTGTCTTAACATTGACAGACAGACATGTTTCGAGTCTTCCTTTTGTTCAACCCCAGGATGTGTCTCGTGCCTCAGTTTCGCAGGGAGGGACGGGGCAGTGGGACTCTTATTTGCATGTGAAAAGGAAGGGGACCTGTTTGAACTCCCTGCTATGTACGTGACAGGTAGGTACCTTGCTTTTTACCCCATGTTCTTGCCGTCAATACCAAGACGGCAACCTCCTGCTGTTGGTCCGATATCGTGGGTCAAGGATGTCACTTGAGATCCAGGACGTATTGACATCAGAATGCGCCAATGTCTATTGCCTCGTGGTGACCTCGTGGCCCCATGTTGCCTTTTCTTTTACGCACTTACTCTACTGTACCGTTGCTTGTTTGAACACGACTATACTTGACGAATCTCGCGAGCTAACATAACAAGAACAAGAGGCCTATATCTAACAAGCCACAACGACACCATGAGCAGTGGATGCAGCAAGAAGACAATATTTCCAGGCACGCCAGGGAGCCTTGTGCCCACATCAAACCCCATCGTGACCTAGCCTTCATCATTAAAACCTTTCAACAATCACATCTTCACACCAGTACCACGGAGACTCTACCAGAGCCCCGTTTATAGCTCCTCTCCTCTTCCATCGTGAAAAAGACACAGGATCATAGATGGATTTCTCCAGGCCTTCGTTTGGATTCGACGGGAAACGGCCTTTTCCTCAATGTCCACTCTCGCTACGATGAACATAGTTCCCGTACTATTTCGCTGACAGATGCTCCAGAACGATCCCCGTTTGCTCGGCTAGAGGTACCTTGCAGTAGTGCCGGTTGGAGAATGATATTTTTGCCCGTGAGAACATGACTTTAATTCTTCAGCAGTTCACATAGCTCACAAATCAGCTCAGCTTTCGACTGTTCGCGTGGGTGTTCATCCTCCAGTACCTCAATAGGCCCAAGATCCAAGATAGTCTTGTTGGTTCATCGCAATTGGTTAATAATAACCGACTAATACTACCACTGCAAAGTTGTCCTTCGATGTCGAAATCCTTGGTGGCTTGTGGATTACAATGATTTATACACCAACGCTCAACACAGACTTTTCCTCCCGTGTCTCTCATCTTGTCGGCCCCCAGTCTTCCCGTCTTCCGTCCCCATTCGACGCTCGGGCCGTTCCCACCACGCCCACTTCCCGGATCCCATTGTGATTTCCGTTCTTCACAATCTAAAACTGCCAGCAAAGTCCCACACATGCCCTCACTGCTTGTTTTAGGCCCTGGCCCGAGGTGGGAATTTGTCTAGTGTACATAACCCCTGAGCCCTGCTGCTGCTTTTGTGGTCTGAACAAGCAAGAGCTGCCCCCGCACTCTCGCCGAACCGGGACTTCCCAGGATTCCCTCCCCCGGGCCCCGACCGAGTGTCGACCGAGTGTGGGGACGGGCGACCAATAGTGGATACGCAGCGGGATCTAAGCGAAACTGCCGATTCCGATCCCGTCGGAGTTTGGTTGGGGGACCCTTGACACTTGGGTCATCTCTGCCCTTCCATTCTGACTGGCACCTCCGTCCTCTTTCCTTCAATCCAGCGCCACTTTGATTTGGTTTGTCCGCGGCTTTTCATACTAAGGGTATTGTTGTCATAAGTTGAAACTTACCTACCTACCTAGAGGTACACATATACCTCTAGGCACCGACGTGGTTGCATACCTTGTGAAGCGACGCAAAGTAAAGCAACTGTAAGACGCACCTGCCAGAACGCTGCCATGATGCAAGGCAGAAAAACCACCTCTAAGCAACACAATCTAGTACCTAATCAAGGCAAATTGTATCTTCAATGGGTAGGTATACCAGGCATGAAATTAACGCAAGTTCGACCATGCCTTTGATTTTGACTCGCGCGTTATGTGCTGCACTGACTGGAGGTTGAACGACAGGTGGAGGATGACATATGGTTGTGTAGGATACTGCATAGACATCGAGTCCAACGATGTTATTATGCTACTCGGTGAAATCATGGACTTCAACTTGACAATGTTTTGTGTTAATGAGAATGAGAAAGATAATGGGAAAAGAGAGAAGTTAGGAAAGAAAGAAAGAAGACGGGAAGGAAATTAATGATGAAGATAAAGAGGGAAGAAGAAGAAAAAAAGAAGAAATATTTGCCATGTCTGAAAAGGGAGGACACGGTGTCTCGGAAGAGCACCAGGATCATGTCACACATCTGCTGTATATACCATATATATACTATCCAACTACTAGCTGGCAGTTCCCCTTTTCTTTTGATCCTCTATGCATCATCGTATCGAACATGACATATCATCGGTAGACAAACAGCTCAGCCCCTTTTACACAATCCCTATCTCAACTCTCGCCACCACCATCACCACCACCACCGACCAACCCCTCAACAGCCTCATTAACCTTCTCCACCACCTTCTCCGCCACCTTACCCTCCTCCTTTAGTTCACTTTCCTCTCCAACCTCCACCCCGGCAATAAACGCCGCACTAATCGGCTCCAACGCGCTCACAAACACGCACAACAAGCTCGCAATGACAAAGTGACTAATTGTGCTTCCAATCTCCAGCCAGCTGCCCTCATCCTTGACCACCCAAAAGAAGTAAAGCGTCAAGATGTCACTGATGCCCATGACCACCATGAACAGGGCCGAAGGGGCCACGCCGAGACGCTTGTTCAAGATGCCAAGGTTGGCGCTGATGAGGGCAAAGGGGATCATCAGCTTGAGGATCAACATGGCACCCTGCGAGAAGGGGTCGAAGATGGGGATGAGACGGTAGACCGAGTCGAGGGAGAAGGAGGAGACGGAGGCAACGTTGCCGGTTGAGAAGAAGGCCGACTGAAGGAGGATGAAGAAGAAGAGGGCAACGCGGGCATCGTGGAGGGTGAGAGGGCGGAAGGGAGCGGGGAGGTGGGATTCCGTGGTTATTGTTGGCTTCTTCGTGGTGGTGGTTTGTGGTGCCTTGGAGGAGGTGAACTTCTGAACTGCGTGTTCGAGGCGAACCCAGCTCACGAGAAGAGCGGAGAAGACGAGGTAAAAGAGGCCCTCGTAGGAGATGGTAAGGATGACAAATGTCGGAGCGCAGGTGAGGAAGATGACAAGGATCCGGTGCATGTAGTGGTTGTTGGGCTGCAAACGGTAGGCCAAGGGCATGAGTAGTGATGCGACTGTTGTTGAGCTTGGGTTAGAGAAGAGTCACCAGCTGCGGCAGGCATTGCGAGGACTTACCAAGAGTAACCCAACCCATAATTTGATTGCCGCGAGGAAGGCCTTGCTTGGCCTGCAGCGAAAGGGCACTGGAGCGAGTGATGATGATGGAAAGTATAGTGAGGCCCACTTGGATACCGACGAGTGACCTGGATAGGTGGTTCCTGGAAGTAGGCTTCGCGTTCCATGAGAAGTCCGCCAGGACAAAGTCCTCGAAGATAAGGTAAAGAAGGCCGATGACGACCATCAATACGCCGCCGATCGTACTACGCACCAATTAGTGAGTGGGAGAAAACAACAATTAAGGGGTAGGTGTACGAACATGAGATTGACGTTCTCTGCCTTCATCGCTGGTAGGAGTGTGAACGTGCTCATGGCGATACAGGCGAGGAACCAGGTGGCAGACAGCGCCCCATGCTTCTTGAGGAACGACAGACCGTGGGTAAAAGGCCAGAAGGAACCCAGCACGAAGAGAACGGAAAGAATCTCGCGGTGGATGTAGCCCAGGGCAAGCGATTCAATGACGCCAACATAAAGCGCGCTGTTGAGCACGAATGAAGCCACAC